GGTAATAGTCGACCGACTGACGAAGTCTGCCCATTTCCTGCCTATAAAAGAAACCTACAAGATGGAAAGACTGACACGTTTGTACATTCGGGAGATCGTGAGACTCCACGGAGTACCAGTGTCTATTATCTCGGATAGGGACAGTAGATTCACTTCGCGCTTTTGGCAATCACTCCACAAGGCAATGGGAACTCATCTCGACATGAGCACCGCGTATCACCCACAAACGGACGGTCAAAGTGAGCGAACCATTCAAACGCTTGAAGACATGCTTCGTGCATGTGTATAGACTTTGGGAAGTCTTGGGATACCCACCTACCTTTGATCGAGTTTTCATATAACAATAGTTATCATTCGAGCATCAAGGTGGCTCCTTTCGAAGCACTGTACGGGCGTAAATGTAGATCACCGTTATGTTGGGCGGAAGTAGGTGACACCCAACTAGCAAGAACACATACGTCGGACAGGGCACTAACGGGACCGGAGATCATTCGCGAAACCACAGAAAAGATCGTTCAAATCAGAGCTCGATTGCAAGCATCGCGTGACCGACAAAAGAGCTACGCCGACAAATGGCGAAAGCCCTTAGAATTTCAGGTCGGCGATCGAGTACTGTTGAAAGTCTCACCCTGGAAAGGAGTTATCCGTTTTGGAAAACGGGGAAAACTGAACCCACGATACATTGGACCTTTCGAAATCGTCGCTCGAATAGGTCCGGTAGCCTACAGACTGCAACTACCCGCAGAGCTAAACGGTGTACACCCCGTGTTTCATGTCTCTAATCTGAAGAAGTGCCTATCAGATGAAACCCTTGTCATTCCTCTTGACGAAATCGAAATCAATGAGAATCTCCTGTTCGTTGAGGAACCAATCGAAATCATGGACAGGGAGGTGAAGCGTACTAAGCAAAGTCGCATCCCGATCGTGAAAGTACGGTGGAACGCAAAGCGTGGGCCAGAATTCACGTGGGAACGCGAAGACCAAATGAAGCAAAAGTACCCTTACCTATTCTAGCATTCTCAAATCTAGCTTTCAAACAGAATTTCGGGACGAAATTCCCTCTAACGGGGGGATGATGTCACCACTGGAAATTTTGTGTCATGTAATCTATACACGCAAGTTAATGTGAATCAAAAACATCAATCAAATACATCATACAAGTACTACAAATAGTCATCAAACAATTGGAAACCCTAGAAGTTCTTGTTTAGGTCCACTTTGGACTAGGACTTCCTTATCGGGCCCAAATGGACCAATAAGCTTCCAATTTGACTATCATGGGCTTAGAACCCTAATTGGGCTCTAATTGGACCCACAATCAGTTATTTTAACATTTTGGGCCATTGTGCGCCTAGAATGAAATGAATTAAAAGCCTTGATCCATAATTAACCTAATCTAGCTTAATGAAAAAAATAAAAATCACAATTTTATTTCAAAGGGCCAATGATCACCCAAACTAACTCTAATATTGGGCCTAGAGGCAAAAAGCCCAAAAATCTTTCCTTCCCTCTCTATTTTCGGCCCAAGCCCAAGGATAAAGGAGGAGTTGACTTTGGATTGCCACCTCATTTTTATTCATTGGATATCCATGCATGGAACTCATACTTCCAAGCACCTATCTCATCAAGGATCACTTCTCTTCTTTTCCCTCCCTCACTCTCGGCCGAAACACATACACACATACACAAATATCTCTCCAACTCTCTCAAGAACGCTCAAGAACACTTCCTCCCTCTCCACTCCAAAATCTCGAAATTTAGGAAGCTTTTAAGAGGATATTTCCACAAATTCTTCATCTAAGGTAAGATTATGCTTAGATCTATGACTTAGATTCTTTTTGTTATCAAAATCTTTTCCTAATCCATGCAAAACCCGTGATCTTACATCCTAGAAGCACATCAAACTCGAGATCTTCAAGAAAAGGGTGCTAAGGCCAAAAACCACCAAGTTTTCTCCCATCTTTTCTTTAAAAACCGAAATCACACCCTAAGGTGAGCTTCATACCCCCCCTATTTTTTTGTTTTTATGAGTTTTGTGGGGGGGGGGAATACAAGTGAAAGTGTAGATCTATATGTGTTTTGTATGCCTTGTATGATTTCTATGCTTATATGTGTGATTTTGTGTGTTTATGATGTTGGATCTAGCCATAAACCTCTAAAAATCGAGATATACTTTATGTTAAATGATACTAGCATCAAATATAATTCTACATACAAAGTGTTCCAAGAAAAATAGCTAAATGGCTTAATAACATCTTCTTTGGGCTAAAAACTCAATTTTTGGACATAAAATGTTAAAAATATAATGTTAAAGGGCCCAAAATAACATATCACGAATTCTGATGGATGAGGAGTGTCAAAACAGTTTCAATAAAATATTTTCTGGAAATATACTCATTTGGAGGATTAAAAATATAAATTTCAAGCTTAATGGGCTAAAAATGACAATTTCGGCCCAATAGGGCCCATTATGTGAAATTTTCTGTTTTGGAGGGCCAAAACTGTGTTTTTTTGTAAAACAGTGGACTACTAGTGTTACAAGTACTTTTCAAAGGTTTAAAATTCCTTTCAAATTTAAAAAGGACCAAAGTTGCAAAAAATTTCCAATTGGGGCCAAAATTGTAAAAACTGCAAAAAAGAGGGGTTATAACCAAGAAAACTGCAATTTCGGGAACTTAAACTGTTTCAATGAAAAATATGCTGAAAAATATTAATTTCAATAATTTTTGATGTTAAAATGTCAAGAAAAATGATTTAAGGACCAAATCGGAAAGTTATTTAATTAGAGGGTTGAAAAAGTAAATTTTACAAACAATGAGGGGCTGAAAACAGAAAACTTTCAAGGCTAATTCAATACACGCAACTTGATCAAATATTGGCACCGCGACTACCGACACAATACACAACAATACCAAAAATCGTTGTTAAACGAATTGATTCGGTCTCGAATCAATAATAATCCGAAACTACTAACACGACGATAACTCGACTCATACACGAAAACATTTGGTAATTCAATACACACGTGAGAGTGCACAGACGTCTACGCACGATCTTTGGGCCCCAAAGTGTAAAATCTTGTTTGTTGGGCCTAGCTAGCCCAATGACCTGATCTTAAGGCCCGAAGACTTCTACCTTACGAGTTGTTGGGTCTTACATGATCTAACACAGCGTAAAAGGACTTTCAATGGCATTTATACTATTGGTCCCCAAGGGTCCTATGGTATTGCTAGTAAATTCGGTATTTTATGCGAGGTGGGTCAAGGGCCCCTCGTACCTTTTTTTTATCCCCAACCGGTTAATGGAGTCATCGGGGTCTTCGTGTCCTCTTTCTCTTCGGATGTGGGATTACTCGAAGTCAGGGCGGTCGGATAACGTGATTAGTACGGACGACGCCTACGGGATCGTTAGTATAGTTATAAACGGGTCGTTTGTGTAACGCGTGTTTATAGCAATTAATCATGCGCAAAAATAATCCGATGTCGCCTGGGATTAATGACTTCACGCGCTGCAACGGTTTTATCTTTAACTTCATGGAATTCAAAGAATTAGGAAAACATCGGGTTTTCCTAGGGTTTTTCAATACACACGTTTTTCAAAATGTACACAATTTTGATGAACATTTTTCTTACAACTATAGAAACAAACAAGCATACCTATGGATCTTCACAAACGTTTTCAAAAGCTCTTTTCAGAAAATATCGGATTTTCTGGTGGTTTTCAAAATGATACAAAACATTGCTTTTCAAATACCGCTTATGAACTCACCAACATTTCACATGTTGACGTTTTTCAAAATACTTGTATTCTCAGGTAACCAGTGATTCAAAGGAAAAATGTACTCAGTGATGGCTTGCAGTTTACTTATTAACGAGTCGAACAATTTATTTTTGGGAATGTAATGTTTAAACAATGTACTTCATGTAAACTTTATCGGTTGTACTATATTAATGCATGGTGACGAATGTTGTTATGTTCCATATATATTCAATGTTATGGTATTCAATTAAGTCACGACAGCCCTCGGACGTTTCCGCCGTCTGGTTCGGGGGTGTGACAGTACATGTATGAAAATTGTTCTTCCGTGGGTTATGTTTTGAAGATAAGCAAGAATGAATCTCATAAAGTCATTAATATCAGTAGGAGTTGATGTGCGATTTGTTGTAAATGTGTAAAGGGAAAATGACTTAGGAGGGTAACCAACTGTTGAGTTTGTTCTCATTTGGTCCTTTTCCTTTTTTTTGTACTCAATATACCATCGAACTTGTTGTTTGTGTTCACCATAACCCTTTGACCGGCTATCACAGATCAAAAGCCGGTCAAAAGGGTTGTGGTGAACACAAACAACAAGTCCGATGGTATATTGAATACAAAAAAAAGGAAAGTGACCAAATGAATACAAACACAAAAGTTAATTACTCTCAAGAGTCATTTTCCCTACAAATGATATAGGGTTTAAAGTAGGGGTGAGCAAACCCGAACCAAGAAACCGACAAAAACCGACGAAACCGAAACCGAATCAAAACCGACGGTGTGGGTTTTAAATTTGTAAAAACCGACTTTCCGGGTTCGGTTTCGGTTTTTCCCCCATAAACCGACCCAACACCCCAAGAAACCGACCCCTCTTTAAAACCGAGAAACCGACCCAGCAAACCCGCAAACCCGATGTTTTTTACTGGTTATATATATATATATATATATATATATATATATATATATATATATATATATATATATAAAATAAAAATAAATAAAAGAAGCTTAGGTGTTTTTTTAATTATTTAACTAATTGTTACATTTCTGGAAAATGGGTTCAAACCCAAAACCCATGGGTTTAAACCCAGAAACTGTAAGTGTATTGGGTGAACTCAAGAAACCGAGAAACCCTCATTAGAAACCGATAAACTGAACCGATTAGAAACCGATCATTTACGGGTTGGATTGGGTTGGGTCCAAAACCAACCCAAACCGACCCATGCACACCTACTCAGCTTCACGGCGTGAAAAGTTTGTAATTGGACGCGGTCAGCGCCGCGCCCGCTAGTGGCCTTCTCTGTCGCCTCTCTTCTCAGACACCATTTTTCTCACTCTTTTTCTCCTTCATTTCTATCCGCTTTCCGTCTCTCTTACTTTTTTACTCTCTTTTCTCTCGCATTTCCATCTGCGCTAACCGCCCCCTCGGCAGTCGCCAGTCGACAGTCGCCACCGCCCTCACCTCCGGTGAAACCTCATAAGACGCTCTGGTCTTCTTCTCTTCTCAGCATCCCACCACTCGTTTCTGTTCATGTAATCGTTTTTAATAATCCGAACCTTATAACTTTCTAGTTTTCAGCCTTCAAGCAGAGTGGAATGATCAGTTGCGAATCACGGATTCAGGTGAATTTTTTTTATCATAAAAGTTTTTAATCAATTTGATTAATATCTTTTTGATATCTGTTTTCGATTCACTAGACAATCGGTGTAATTCAAGCCGGTGATAATACCCTTCTAATTTCTGCTTTCGATTCTCTACACGATCGCTGTAATTCAATCCGGCTACGGGATTTTACAACTTGGTTCTTGCAAGACTGTGAGTATCTTTTTTCAAAAGTAGCGATTTTTGATTATTTTTCATGCAACTTCCGTTCTTTTCGATCTGGTGTTACTTTAGCTATTTAATGAAGTTATTACTTATTATTGAATTGTTTTTAGATCTAGGATAAAAAGCAAGTACGAAGTGAAATAAATGCACCTTTTTGTAGGAAATCGTGAACTATACTTTTATATATGAAAGTCTCGACAAAAAGACAAATTTTAAATGTAGGACCTATTCACAGAATTACTTGAATTGGCCTACACGTTCATTTTTAAATCGAACACATGATAGAATTTAAATTTGATTCTAATAATTAGAATTTATATAAATTGCAGTGTATACAAACCGTTAGTGCAGACAAACATTTCTCTTAATGGGTCATCCACATAAGACTGATGAGGAATCAAAGGTTTTGAGTAGTTTGATGAAAAAAGAAGAGAGTGGGTTTTTAAACTCTACTATAGTGGAAGAGGATGCTGATGCTGCAGTATTGATAGGGGATATGACAGATACAACCACCCTTTTGAGTGACGAAAACGATAATTGGACAGATACTTCTTTTGATTTCTCAGATAATGATGCTTCCTGCTCAAACTCTGATGTTTCCTATATATCTGGTAGTATGGAGAAACATATTGTTGCTCCTGGGATTATGTCAGATGTATCAGGGAATTTTTCCAACAAGATAATGCTAACATGGGTTCTGAAGGTGAGTGAACCTATATCGCTAAATGTTATTTTCTTGATTTTCTGGTCACTCAATTAATTTTCATATTGTTTTCAGGCATGGGAAGCAATGCCTTGCTTAATTGAGCCCTCATCCGAGCTTTCCAAGAACACACAACATCACAACTCAGATACAACGATTGAAGATGTTAGAGTTTGTTTTGAAAAATGTGGCATACAAGTAAGTTTGTTATATGCTTTTCATTATGAAGGTTATAAATACTGATCATGTGTTTGGAAATGATGCATGATCACCGTGATTTTTTTGAAATTGGTGATGATAAGTTTTTCATTATCTAATAATATATTTTTGTGACTATGAATCCTTTGTGACAGGACCCCGGTAGAAAGTCATACCTACCTTTGTCATCTAATAATGATCTTCAGACATGGCCTGCTTTAACTCCTATTAAGCCCTCATTTGCGTTTTCGAAGAGTAGACATCAACACAATTCAAACATAAAAGTTGTTTCTGATGTTCTTGAAGAAAGTTACGGTGTAAATAACTTGTTCTTTATGTATCTTTAAAATTATATGAATTTCATTCTATAAAGGTTTTAAATATGGATGATGTGCCTAATAATCGTGCGTGATCAACATGAACTTTTTCTGTTATATAATATATTCTTATGGCTATGAATATTCTTTTGTGACAGTTAACTGGTGGGGCTTCTTACATTGCCTCGTCATCTAATAGTGATCTCCACGAGGGTAATATGTCATTCAAGAGGTTGTAATTAATTTGTCATATACTATGTTACCTTGTTTTGTATTGATATAAGATGATTTTGGTGTTAATAAAATTTCGAGTAAATTACTGAAATCGTCTCTTGGTTTGGTCAAAATTGCACGTTTGGTCCCTAACTTTTTTTTTGCACTCGGATTGTCCATGTGGTTTGATTTTGTTGCGTTTTTCGTCCCTGTGGTTTGATTTTGTTGCATTTTTCGTCCCTTACATACATAAAGTTAGGGACCAAATATGCATTTTTTACCAAACCATGGGGACGAAAAACGCAACAAAATCAAACCACAGGGAGGATCCGAGTGCATAAAAAAAGTTAGGGACCAAACGTGCAATTTTGACCAAACCACAGGAACGATTTCAGTAATTTACTCTAAAATTTCATTTGTATGACTATGGGAGGGAGATTTGTGAATCAATTAGAATTAATTTTTATCATTGGAAAAAAATGAAGATTTGATGTGTCCAACATCTTATTTTGACCATTTGTAATTTTCGTTTAGGAGTTGGCGTGAAGTTCTTATTGGCCTTGGAACTTCCTCTGAACAGACTCAGACTCGAGACATTAAAGGAAAGAGTCCATTACATGATCCAGATAGTTGGGTGAAGATAGTAAAAAAAGGGTCACACACTCGGGACTCTAAAGGAAAGAGTCCATTACACGATCCAGATAGTTGGGTGAAGGTAGTAAAAAAAGGGTCACAAATGCAAAAACTTGACTATCCTTCAAAAGACACCGCAAAAAAGCAACATATTCCTGGTAAGTAAAATCAACGATCCACTTTAGGTTTCTTAGGTTTAGGCTCAGTATTTTAAAAGAAGTGCCGACCATTTATGTGTGTTTAATAATTGATGTAATTTTGATATTCGTTTGTGTGTGAAGGGGATGATTATAAGAAATACAGGCATAACGCAAATCAACACTGGGAAATTCAGAAGTCCCTCGTTGAGCAGGCAATAATGTTTTCTGTATCGCTTTTGGGCTTTCATTAATGTTCGCTGAGCTTTCATTTTCATTCTATACTGCAGGCTAAAAACGCATATGCAAGTGGAAAACAGAATGAGGGGGTAAATCTCTCCGAACAGGTTGGTACACAAGAGAAAGAGAGGGAGAAAGCCCCCTTAATTAAATGCGATTAAAACACCTTTCTCTTAGAAGTTTTTCATGCAACTTTGATTAATTGACATTGTGTTAATATTTTAATGAGCCAACTAAAAACTTGGTTATATAAGTTTCTATATGATTATGTGAAGATAATTGAATTTGTGGTTGTTCACACACTTATATACCACCATGGTGATGGATTAAGCCCCAACATGAGTGGTTGGTGATAGGTCATAGGAGACATCTTAGGTTTTAAGCCTGAGCATCACCTTTCTTGGGGACATTGTTTGTCAAGGGTTCAAGTCCCAACAGCCACAATTTGTGAAAGTTCGGATTCTAATATGGATTAAGCTCCTTGTAGGTACTAAGTTCCTATATATATATATATATATATAGCAGCCAACAATGATTTTGCAATCTTCTAGGAAATACTTACGATAATGACTTGAGTTTATAAATTTTTATGTAGGCAAGGATGTGGAAGGAAAAGGCTGAGCAAGCTGATGAAAAGGCTAGCGAGGATATTTTTGATTCAAGGTTTGTCATTGTATATTAGAGGTGGCAACAAAGCCAACCTGTTATTTAACATATATATGTTGATATTGTTATTGAATACAGGAACAAAAATAACATTGTAGATTTGATGACAATCGATTTACATGGACAACATGTGAAAGAGGGAATGACGATACTAAAATATCACCTTGCATTTGGTGTATATGGTCGTTGTAAGTATCTTTTTGGTCAATATATATATATACACACACACACACATTGTGTTTTGGATGGTTTTCTAATCGGTGTGATATACAGCTCTGCGGCGGCTCCGTGTCATCACCGGATATGGGAGTGGAGGAACTGGGCAGTCGATGCTGAAACAGGCGGTATGAAATCATGCCTTTTTTAATGTAGAAATGAGCATTATCTATTTAACTGTTTCAAGGATCAATCATCTCATGTTTTTGTGTAGCTTGAGATGTCTGAATGTTTGTTATAGGTTGTTGATCTCTTAAAAATGGAGAAATTTGAGTGGGATAAAGAAAACGAAGGTAGTCTTCTAATCAAATTCGACATGAAGAAGAGAAAGTTGGGGTTTGTGAAATTGTAGTTACTCTCATTAATCTTTGTTCATTTCTCTTTTTCTTTGGACAATTTGTTGTATGAGAATGAAACAAATATGTGTTGGTTTTCCCAAAACCCTTTTGATCATCGGTTAATTTACACTTTGTCAGAAATGATATTTACGCAATGATCAACGGTTATTTTTATAGAAGCATTAAATGAAATTATTAGGAAAATATAATAAGTAAGATGGCTGTATAAGATTATAGAACATCTTTATTGAGTTATTTGTTTTCTATATTCCACACCTTTTTATCACTTGTAATAATATTTTTTACAAATATAATAACATAAAAATATGATAAGATAAGATATAGAACCTTAAATACCAAGAGAGGTTTTTTCACCGTAATTTCTTCATGTGTGAGGATTTGATTTAGAACTAATTAAGAAACATCAAAAAACCAATTCACGATTCGGTTAGCAGCTTTTTGTTGGTGTATGGTGTTGATTAAACAAAGGAAAGAAGGATAGATGGTGTTAAGAAGAAGAGAGATGTTCCAACTTCCAATCTTTCTTGGTGTATACGGACTTCCAACGTCCACCATGTTGCTGCTATGGACAAGAGAGTTGTCCTCACTTTGGACACGTCAAAAACTAATCAACTGAGTGAAGGGGTACTTAATAGATAATATTTATCTTTTGATTCCTTGGCCCCACAACACAACCTTATCCTAAATTCCTAATGCTCGTCTCTATTTTCTCCGATTCCACTTAAGGAGCCCAATATTTTGACTGGCTGGCTGTTTTGTATAGCCCACGAAATCGTCCAGCCTTCTTCCTACTCCAGTTGGGCCCACTAAATACTCTAATTATCGACAGCACCATGCATTTATAAACCTTCTTCTAACTCATTATCTAATGATTTTTGTGATTCTAACGACACTATTGCAAGAAATGATACTAAAACATTTAATCAGGAAGCTAACCCCAAAACCAGGACACTATTAATGATACTAGAACATTTAATCAGAAGCTAACCCTAAAACGAGTGGTGAGGTTAAATATAAGGAAGGTGGATCGTAGGACCCAACTAATTTTTTAATTTATCTAAAATTACTATAGGAATTTTTTAAGGACCTATCTTTAAAAAATTTAGGACCTACCTTACCTATATATTTTTTTTTAATTTGTACAAGAAAATATATATAAAAAAAATTAGGGAACCATGTGGTTTTATATTCTATACTCGCCACTGCCCAAAACTATCTTATGAAATTTTTTTGGGACAACGAAGAGTGTTTCCTATTCTCCCTGCTTCTTTCGCAATGTAGTGAGTGATCTCAAAAATGTACTAATGAAGCATGTTGCTAATATGATCTCTGAGATGTGGTTTTAAATAACTAGTCTATTTATCTCTTTAAATTCAATGATGATCAAGCTCTTAAAAACATAGTTGGTTTGTATTCCAGAACCGACACATTTGATAATATTTCTTGTATGCATGTCATCCTGTGGCAGACCTATGTGGTAGTCAAGGATAACACTTGCTACCCCTCAAAAAAAAAAAAAATTCAAGTAGTATAAAACATTTTATTATTATTATTATTTATTTTTGTTTTGTAAGTTAAGTTGTAAACGTGCGACCTCTAAATAAGTGGTGTGCTACCCTGGAATAACAGAAGGATTGTAGAAGGAGTTTGAAGTTTGGAACTAGAAGGTTAAAACTTGTTTCCCAATGAAACGGAGAACTATGCTTTGTTCTTCAACACGTTACATTTAGGTATTTTAATTTTTTATTGAACAATGAGAATCCGTTGTGATTTAATTTGGATTTTGAACCCTATTTATTTTGAAAATCATATTCTCTAAAGAATCACTCTTTGTTAGTCATTTTCTTTGTCTGCGATTTCAGTTTGAATGAGTTTGCTTACTTATTATAAAGCTTGTTCTTTTTGTTGTTTAGGAAGAACGTAGACACAAGGTATTAATCTCACATTTTCATTCATATGTTTCATTTTGTGCTATTTTCTTTGTTAACAATATTGTTTCACGTAGTTTTTAATGCATACTAACTGTTTGAAATGCTTGAAATAAAAGTGAAATTTTTAAGGAATGGAATAGATTGAGATTGCTATATCTCTAAGTGGGGGTCATTATTTATATTGCTTTTTGTATAATATCATTGTTTGTACTACTATTAGTCCTAACCTTTATCTTTATTTCAAGCATTTGTTGGTCTTGTTCTACTAGATCAAGCTAATTATTTATTTCTCTAGTCTATCAAGATGACACAACCAATATATCCTTAGGATTCCATACTTTAAGTAGTTGAGTGGGATTGTATTTTTGTTCTAGCATCTCTGATTTGCACTCTTGCAATGACAATGACAGCCAATGACTTAACATGCTTTCACTATCAATATTGTTTATTCATCAATTCTTCTATTGTTGGGGTTATATGATTCTCCATTGATTGCAATTTGGTTCATTTTTTCGTATTTTCTTATGGATGTAATTATTTTACATTATATTAAAGTATTTACATCCCTTGGAAGAGGCTAAAAGTTGGATAACTTGGTTGAAAAGCGTTTGATTTCAGTAGCTCACAGGTAATCTTTAATGTTTTGCCATCAAAATATGTAATTGTAAATGGTTAAAATGTGTAACTAGTTCCCATCTATTTAATCACAATAAATTAAGACTTAAAAGCAACTATAAAAATAGAGGATTAGATTATCAAAGGGATAACAATAAGCAATCTAATCTTTAAAAATCAACACCTACTCTTAAAGAATCAAATTTTGATTCATGTTCACATTAGTTTTTAGTTATTAGGCTAACACAACATCCTTGAAAGCCTGATAAATGGGTAACTTTTAACTTTTGATTTTTATCCTGAACACGAAAAATTAAACCCTGTTTAACATGAACCCGAAAAAAGTCATATAATCAGTAAAAAATTGAGCTACCCCTAAACTTTTGCTCTAGGTTCGCTATTGATGTAATCAATAAAAGAATGACTATAACGATAACACAATTGCCACTCATAAATATTGTCAACTGTGTCGGGTCTGTAACTCAAAAACCGTTGTAGACAAACAAAATCGAAACTCGAAAAAGACACGGAACAGTTGAATTCGCAAATTATCATTTTTGGATGAAGAGAATGGTTGTATGAGGAAATCAGCGTTAAAAGGTCGAGTATATGAAACCTTAATCAATAAAGTTAATAATTATGAAAATAGGCCGACATGCTGATAAGCTGTCAAGATGGAACATAGAATACTGTAAGTCAAATTAGTATTGTAGGTGCATGGTACAAAAACAATCCTTACCTTAGGAGCGAAAAAAGACTTAAGGAATCACTACTCATAGCTGTTTTGTTGATGTATGATTCTGGGACGTAATCATCCTAAAGAGAATATAATTGTAACGCCCCGCAAGTTCGGGGTAGATATTAAATTATAAAATATAATAATCATTTATAATTAAAATCCTCAAATAGAAATCACTACTCATAGTTGTTTGTTGTGTACATGTTTTATGTACAAATATTGGGATTATAATATTTGTATAAAACAATATTATAAAATTTAACGAATTCCATCAAATAAACGTTCAAATATAAAAGATTATTTAGGATAAATAATCTTGATGAAAGTTGTAGTAATCGTAATGACTTTTTCGGGGATGTAAGTACCGCTTAAATCTGACTTTGTGTGAAGAAGTTGTGGTTCTTCGAAGTTTTGCATTTAACCCTATACGACAAAACATGAATCAGAGATGGATTGGTTGTTAGCCTAAGTAATCTAAACGAAATTCTTAGTAATCGTAAAACAAGAGCATGCATATAGAGAATGTCCAAATCTGACTTCATATGAGGAATTTATGATTTTTCAAAGTTCTGACGCAACAATGTGGATATAGAAATCGAAATTAAAATCGGTTGATTGGTAGCCAAAATAATGTAAACTAGAGTTGAAGATCTCGTGAATAGGAATATGTCAATATAAAGACAGTCGAGAACGGAGATCGTATGAAGTAGTTATGACTTTTTTTCATGTTCTTTTGCAGTATAATCTTTATAGACTGTTAAATTTAAAATGGATTGAAAAATAGTCGACGGTGTCAAAATGAAAGTTGTAGTACTCGGAAATATCTACACGTGGATATAAATAACGTCAAAAACAGAGCTCGAATGTGAGAGATATTATTTTCTGAAAATAGAGAAAAACTACTCGACATGGCGACATGGCTCCACTACATGTGCACCATCTGTCACGATTCTAGAAGAGGCCTTTCTGAGAAAGCCAAGGCACGATGCATTTTGCCCAATTTTCGTTTATAAATAGCATTCAACCTCCTCATTCTTCCTCACACCTTCAGATCAATTCTCTAGAATTCTATACTCTTAGGTCCGAATTTCTTTAGATTTTAGAAGTATTTGGCGAAGCCCTGGGAATTAGAGAGCCCAAAAAATAGAAGCTTTCGGGTCAAAGTTCTGCCTGTGACTTTCCTGTTTTCAACAAAAAAAAATTATAAGTTAAGCTACACTTTCTATGCTTTAAGTGTAACTTATATCTATATTCATAAACCGTTATTATGAATTTATAAATAAAACTTATCACTGATTTCAAGTCATACTACTGATTGATCTACTTATGGGAGTAATGTCTAGGCTAAATCTGGTGAGGTGTTTAAAGTGAGATTTCTAAACAGTATACTCTGTATACCAAACAGACCCTATCTCCGATATGATCTTACTCGATTATTCATTATTTGGTAAATCTTGATATAGACATTTAGATTATTGAGGAATCTAGACTACCGTTATTATAGTCGTGAGGTATAAGACTGAGACTTAATGATATTTATATATGGGTCTTTTGAAAGGAAAATCTAATGTGTTAGGCGAAGCATTGCCCTAATCGCAAGACATCCACTTTTAAAAAGTGAGTGCATAGTTACTTTTATCTTACACATAGATACAAAGTATTTAGATAATTGAATGCTATATATTCATATTATTTGTGTTCTTGATATTTGTGCTAGATGCAATAATAGGGTATGATTTTGCTTGATTTATCTGTATATGTATTTTACCGTACTTATAAAATATTAGGTAGAAAAGGGTTGAGAAAGAGATAAAATAATGGCGAGAGACAATGCCCAACATTGTAGTACTGTACTACCGAGACCAATAATATAGCAGAGTATTAAAAATGACCATAAACTCTTCTAGATAATC